AAGTTCTCAGTTTATAATAACTGTTGCTTAATATATAAATCACTCGACTATCCCACACTGATTCAGAATATGTCAATAATGATTGTAATCAAGTTTTATATGCTTTTTTCAAAGATAAATTTAAATTGTTTGGTCTAATTTATGTGAAAAATTAGATCAGTGTAGTGGATTACTTTGTCGTTTAATTGCTCTTATTAATAGTTAATTATATATTAAAACCTTTATTGATATCTGGGTCATAAATAAGTAATTACAATATACATTACAGGTTCTAATAATTTAATAAATAAATAAATATTTTTATAATTTTCCTATAAGAATGAATAAATTGAATAATAATGATGGTGGTCTTTTTATATCATGAATGAAAAATGTGTCAATACAAAAATTGAGGGTATGTGTATGGAGTAACACATGTTAAGTGATAAGTAAATCATCATTCTCGGTTATATATAATCAAATCTGATCATCTATCTACATTTACAATTCATCATCAATGTAATTAATGCGGTTTCTTGAATAAAATAAAGATAATATTACTTAAGAGGATCGTTTTATAGGTCGTTCGTTGAATTTAAACATTTGATACTTACTCGATGTTCTAATTTGGATAACGTTAGTTTAAAGAAGGGTGAACTAGGATTATTTAAAAAAAATGGTAAGGAAATATTTAAAGAAGCGATATGATCACTTGTAAAAAACAGGAAGAGCTTTCTTGCGTAATTTTAAAGGAAACACTTGAGTAACAGACCAAAACGTTCGTCACGAAACGGAAGGTTTAAATAACAGTAATTTCGTATTTTGTCAAAAATTCGAAGGAAATCGCCCTACTTTCTAGACGTATTTTCCAAGTTTACGATACTTTAATTATAAGTTCAAAAATTCAATTGTGTATCTTTTTCCCCCTTTTCTTTAAATCAACTTTAAATCACTAAAAAAACATTACGCAAGTTCGACACTATCACGAATAAAAACCTTAAAAAGTTATTAGAATAAAACTTCGTCAGACTATTTATTTGGAGCAACGAAGCGTTAAGTCTCGATGCTGCTGCTGCTGTTACTCTGTCTCTTGAAATTCTGTTTTTTTCCACAGAAAAAGGAACTTCCAGTAAGAATCCCCCCCTCATTAAATCGCAACAAAAGAATGAAGCTAGATAAAGAACATGAACATTACTTACATAATATTACAAAAAAAAAAAAAATTCAGATCGTTACTAATGTAACCTAGTAACCTTTATCGTAACAAAGGGGGAGCTTGTTCACATAATAGCACTTTTAAAATACCATATACACAATAAGGAAGCTAAAAAACCGGAAGTTTACGTTGAAACAGTTTACATTTTTTTTTTCTTCGTATAATTATTTAAACGATAGAATGAAAAAAAAAAAAGAAGTGACGAAAACCTTACGTCATTAGTTCTGTTCTGTGTTAATTGTATTCAATTTAGTTGTTATAAATCGTAACAGATGGCGCGATTGGTAATTTCTGCGCTACTTCCTCGAAAGGAGGAAATTAACCAAGTTCTTAAATGGGCATTGGGTGGTCGCGAACAGGTTATATCACGTGATTAAACTCGATTGTTATTGCCAGGTATATGTCTTTACTCGTGTATTAGTTGAGTCGGGTGGCCTGCGAGAAAACCAGATTGGACGACAACAAACCTCGTAGACTAAGAATATATCGACACCATGTAAAAGAACGGCAAAAATTCAAAAAGAAAAGAGGAAGATAAAGTCTGGTTGATGTTACAGAAAGGTAAGAAAAAAAATTCTTATTAAATTATTTAAAGTTCTGTATGCATTAAATATTAAATTAATGATATATTTCGAATTATATAAAATGTCACGTGTACATACCATAATAACACGCTATATCGAAGTTTTATGTGTTTTAACATCTGCCAGACACACACACCACTTATTGCAGGAGTTAAAGAGACGATTTTCAAGAGTATTTTTTAATGTATTTAAGAATTAAATATTGTAGTATTAGTTCTTTACGTTGAAAAATTTTTTAATAGATGAACCCCTATGGTGATATCATTCTGGGTGGTGTTATGCTTGGTTCGGGTTGTCATGGTTACGGTCAATAACATGATTCTCTATTCAGACGAAAATAATGCATTTATTTATTATTTTTTTTAAAATAAGCATTTTATAATATTTTAAGGAAGAATCTTGCAGTCATTATTTATAAACATCGTTGGTTTGAATGAATAACCTTGATAGGAAAAAAATGTCCTTCGTTATTTATTTGACAATCATTAGTTTCAAGTACAAGGATATCCAAAGCAAGAAGGAAAAAATTCTATAATACTTAATGTATAGACCAAACAATTCTATACTGTTTCGAGTGTTTTTTTTGTAATTAAAAGTGTTATTATAATTGATTTTTTATTAGTATGCAAGTTAGAAAATAATATAAGTATTTATGAATTACATATCTGGTAAAGAGAATGATAAATAGAACGTTATTTTGCTACTGGCATTAAACGTGAATGGAATGAATTCCTGTTTGTACGACTGTCCCTGAGATTTGCAGGTGCGACTATCACCTTTAAGAAGGAAAAATCGATATAAGTTTGTACAAGTAACGTAACATATGACATTTCTGATTAAAAATATTTAAAGATAGAATCAATACACCAACCCAATCTGTCAAAAATTCTATGAATTACTCCACTACATCCGCTATTTTGATTAAAAAAAATATATATATAAAATCACATGAACCATTTCTCTACAATATTATTACTACATCTGTGATTAAATAAATAATTAATTTAATAAAAATTGTTTATATTATTCGCATAAAATCAAAACGAATTTTAATTGAATCGTGATTTTTTTTCCTGTATATAGAATAGTTTAAACGGAGAAATAAATTATAAATAAAATTGGTGGCACTCAATGAATCGAATAGGTGATGTCGTTGGATTTAACTTTTCACATACAAACCTATTTATAGTTTTACGCTTCATATCATTATTGCTAGAAAGCACGCAACAACATATATGTAAACTCGTTTGTTGTAGTAACAGATGATGCTTTTCTTTCACAACACAAAAATTAAGTAACTAATTTCCTTCCACTATAAATTTTCTAGTGAATAATTCTGCTCCTACTTCAGATACGACACAGTAATTCGAATGTTTTAGTGTATTTAAACATTGTAAACCCGATTGTCTTTATAATATTATAGTCTATATAAATCCTTAATTATCGTACGTTTCACGTTGATTAATCATAAATAAATATCATTAAATAAGTCATTAACAAGTCTAATTCTATATAAATCGATTAGATAGTCGATGAACACTAGAAATTATTGATTTTTTTTATGCTTTTTTTTCGAATAAACCTTTTGCCTTTTAAAGCGGAAAATGAGGTGATTAATGAGGATGGTTGTTAGCGACTTTTTAACGGATCTTCGTGACTAAATAGACTCATTCGCTTCGTTACGTGACTAAACGCTTCGATAAAGAGGCGTAAATGCCTATTCCAATTCTAGATCATAAAATTAAGTAAGTTTCAATGGAAACATTTCTTAATTTTATTTAGAATATTGTATTTGTTATTTCTGCTTTTTTTCCTCCTCGTATACAATCTTTAATAAGTTACATTCGATTTAAATTTTACACAGTAGCGAGCGAGGTTACGGTCGAAGTTTTCATCTGTAAAACGTGAACGTCGAACGTCGAGTGCCGCTTACAAGAAGCGGCACTCGACGTTCGAAGTTCACGTTTTAAATATGAAAACTTCGGCCGCAACCTCGCTATTGTCTACAGCATCCTATTGGTTTTACACAGTAGCGAGCGCGGTTACGGTCGAAGTTTTCATCTGTAAAACGTGAATGTCGATCGTCAAGCGCCGCTTACAAGAAGCGGCACTCGACGTTCAATGTTCACATTTTACAGATGAAAACTTCGGCTGCAACCTCTCTATTAAGTTGTCTCATTAGTTTATAAATGATATGATTTATAAGAAAATAAGCTGAATTATCTGATCTCTCTTTGAAAATACATAAAATACTAAATGAAATTATACTTACTCTCTATCTATCACTAAACACGTAACACCATCAGGATCGTCGGCAATAATATTTGCTGTGCGTACATCTTCACTGTAAAAAATCATATTTACGTTATTTAAGCACTTTATATTCATATAATAAAATATATATTAAAAGAGATGTTCTAAGTTATTATGTTAAAAGGTACACAGTGCTTCACTATAGAAAATGATCTATCNTATTTTTTATAATGTATTAATAACTTAATTAACTTGTAGGCCTATACAATACAATTAAGTCAGTAAATAAAGAATATAATATCTTCATTTATATTTTATACGTAAAGTACTATAGCATTATGTTTCTTACCGTCTCGTATTATATATAGAAACAATAAACAGTAGCGGGTTTTTAAATTTTAAATAGCAAGAGAAGTAATAAGCACTTGTAATATTAAAAATATACAAGTCCCCCCCCCTATAACACTGGTGATTACTCCGTTTTATATGAATTTCATGTTGTACGAGTCACTTAGATTTTACAAATACGTGAGCCGTTCACAGCCCGGCACACGTATTTGTAAAATCTAAGTGACTCGTACAACATGGAATTCATATAAAACGGAATAATCAACAGTGTTATAGGGGTGGTCAACTGTACAGTATTTTATTTGTTTAAAATACTGTTTTATTTGATATTATATATTTAAATATATGGAAGCAATTAATTTAAAATAAAGGGAAAGTCAGACTTAATTCATAAAATTTTCCTCGTATGTATTTATATTTACATATTATTATGAAATCAATATTATGAGACGTCGAAAACGCAAGTTATATCTAATGTTAATGTCATTTTTTTTTCTTCTTATTGCTTAAAGTGTTATTTAAATAAATTGTGTACAATTTATTATTTTCATCCCTTTAAAATTAACAATAAAGATTCTAAAGGAGAATACAAGGTCATTGTTTTTTTTTATAACAAGTTACTGGGAATGATAATTATCAATTTCTACCGACAGTTTTATTTTAAATAATAGAATAAAAATCTATTGTCTCTTTTCTAATTGAATTTTATATGTTAGACGATTTACAAGAGAGTAAGTTAATCATAGAAAACTATGATTCTCCTCCCGGAGTTGAGAAGCAGAATGTTATCAGATTGGAAGATTTAGAACATTATGTGAAAACGATGAACGAATGTGGAGGTTTTCTTACTAGATTTGAGGTAATTCTAGGATATAACAATTTAAAATAAATGTCATTCGTCTATTAAAATGATATAGGATATTACATAGGAAGCTGCAAGATATTAAGTCTTACTTCAGTGATGATAAAGATGATTCATATCTAATCGTCTGTTTACTTTAAAAAGAAACAAAAATTAATAATAATTTGGTTGAGAATTATATCTTATTACAAATTAAAATGTTTAATGCATTATATCAGCTTGCCACTTACCGTACAGATCATTAAACATATGCTTGGAAAGTAAACACATAGGTTAATAAGAACTTTGATTTTATTATTAATCAATATTTGCTTGTATCGATAATCGGATAGTGTTCTATGTTAATGTTATAACACTTTATTTAGCGATTACTGTGCAAATGTTTGATTAAAGAATGAAAATAATGGTTTCTTTATGATACAATTCTTAACAGAATTTGCTCATTTCTTTTAAGAAATAATGGTGAGTAGTTAATTAATTAAAAAAAGAATGATTAAACATTTTAAAAAGTTAGAAAATATTACATTTAACCTATTTTTTGTCATCAAATTCACATAGTTCGAATAATAAATGAGGAGGTCTTCAAGCAATTTCGTAAATCAAAAATTGGTTAAATTACCTTGCAACTTCCTGTATTATGATATAAAAAAATAATGAAAAATTTAGGTTAAAAGACTTATGTTAGATTAGAAATAATTCTGTGTGTTTTCAATTGCTAAATTTTTATTTAACATCTTCATTACACGTTAAAATATTTAAATGTACCTTACAGATGTTGAAAACTGGTCAGTTAAAACCTTGGGAAGCTGGAAAAAAAACCGAAAATAAATCAAAAAATAGATACGCTGATCTTCTACCTTGTAATTCATTATTTTTATATATTAATTAATTATTTATTAAAGTATAGAATTAAATATAATTCCATAATAAATTATTCATTGATAACCTAGATGATGAAACCAGAGTCGTTCTGCAAAAACTAAAAAACGATCCAGATTCCGATTATATTAATGCAAGTTATATCGATGTAAAGTATAAATTTTTAGTATTAAATTTAAAGAAAAGAAATTATATGCATTTTTATTAATTAATCTTCTTTCTGTAGGGTTATAATCATCCAAAAGCATATATCAGTACTCAAGGTAAAGAATTTGAATTTTATAGTTAATTAGAAAAATAAATATTCAAATTTACATTGTTTACGTTTATATTTATACTTTTAAAAAAGGCCCATTAGACAAAACTGTCAACGACTTTTGGAGGATGATTTGGCAGGAGAGTATAACCAAAATCATCATGGCTGCTAACATCATTGAAAATGGAAAAGTAATTATTCATCTCTGATTAAAATATATTTAAATACGTGTATATATTTAATAAAAAATAGTAATAATAATAATTTATTTCTAGAAAAAATGCGAAGTTTATTGGCCAGAAACTGTTAAAAGATACGGAGATATCACCGTTTCTCTTCAGTCAGAACAGGTCTTCATTGATTTTATAATTCGCACTTTTAAAGTACACAATATATATTATTTTTTTTCTTATAAATATGATTAAAAATAGTATTATCTATTGATCTAAAATTATTGAAATTATTTATTACTTTTCTTTTTTTTTATTTAAACAAGACTTTTTCCTGCTACCATGGAAACTGAACAAAACAATAATGTTAAACAGATGAAGCTGGGTAAGAGTTTTACTATTTACAATACTTAATCATTAATATTGTATTAAATTTATAAGGAAATATTTAAGAAGAAAAGTGTTTATTTCTCGTACAGAAGAATTTTTATTTGGTACACATGTGCAATCTTTTAAATGCTTGAGTATTAAATTACATGAAGCAACAACCATACTAAATTAGGCTAAATGTTTAAAAAAAATATTCCGTTTGAAGTGTTTATTTTTACGTATTATATTCTACATAAGTTTAAAGTTTTGAGTGAATAAAACTTATAATAAAGTTATAAAAATTATTTTTTATAATGTATTAATAACTTAATTAACTTGTAGGCCTATACAATACAATTAAGTCAGTAAATAAAGAATATAATATCTTCATTTATATTTTATACGTAAAGTACTATAGCATTATGTTTCTTACCGTCTCGTATTATATATAGAAACAATAAACAGTAGCGGGTTTTTAAATTTTAAATAGCAAGAGAAGTAATAAGCACTTGTAATATTAAAAATATACAAGTCGACCCCCC